TTCTGGCGAGACCCGTTACAGTCCTGGTTATTTCGTTTTATAAGTTCTTCATTGTATCCTTAAAGTAATTATTCCATAGGGTTTTTTGACCTTTTCTTCTTGGGCAAGTATTGATATTTCTCTGAGGATGGCACCTCACCTTCCTCCTCACACAGGACCTGGGCATGATCCTGTCCTTGCGCAGCAGAACCTGGGTGAGTGACAGGTGGCAGCAGGGACCTGTATTCGCTGAATCTGTCAGTGGCTTTAAAAGCATTATTTACTATGCCTACAGTTTTTTGCCTCCTATTTGCCCTTGCAAGTATTTTCTATTGGTGAGGTTTTGCCCCTGGAAAACTTGCTCTGGGCCTCAGGATAATTTACCAAGTGATTGAGTATTTTCATCTGGGTGAAGAAAGATATTTGGTGTGTAATGTGTGGAACACAATCTCAAGGCAGGGGAGAGTGAGTAGCTTAGAAAAAGCCTAACCTCTGTGTATTTTTATAAAGCCTCCTACTTCTCTAGTAGCTGAGCACCTCACAGGCTTCAGTTTATTCTCAGGGCATTTCTGCAAGATAAAAAAAATCCCTCCCATTGTGTCAATGGTGAGCTGAACACCAAGACAGGCTGATCAGACTCCACAGACTGGTTTGGTGCTGTGTGACAGTGTTAATGCAGGGATGTTGCTGGTAGGCGACTGCAAAATAAGGTGGTAACTTGACCATGAATTCCCTACCCAGCAGTAGGAATGTTAGAAGTTGTGTGTACCTGTGAGCCAGATGCTGTTCTTCCTATGAGGAAAGGCTAACAGAAGATGAACAGGTAACCAGAAAAGCATAATTTTGTACTCCTGATAAAGGGGTAGGTCTTTTTCTCAGCTAGCCACCCTGGTCTGAGCAACCTGACTCAGAACAAAATTTCTGCTTCATTGCTTCTATTAGCATCTCTTTTTCACACACCTTCACCTCCCTTATCACAGTTTCTGGAGGCCGGGATGTATTTCTGGTCCCAGTGGCAGGTGTACAAAGTTTCAGCTTTCCCCTCTCCCCCCTTGACACCTGTTTATCCAGACCCTGATTATCCAGGGTGCTGTATGATGTAGAGCTAGCAGACGAGCTTTTAGCCCTGGACACAGAAAGCCCTTCAGTCATCTGTCTAGAAGAACAGAAGCTTCTTATACCTGTGGAAGAAAGGCAGGAAGCATTTTTGCAAAGCCCCCTTCTTCCTTTCCTTGTAGCAGAATTTTCTTTTCTTGCCTTAGGTAAGCCACATCCCTTTATATTTTAGCAAGCTCTGTTTTTTTTAGCTGTTTTTAATAGACATGTGCATTCCAAAAGGAGAAGTGGGAAATATATCATCATGAAGATTGCAGACATGCTAATTTTTGAAATGTTAGTCAAGCATCAGTGATGGAAGAAGATGAATAATAGCTTTATGGGTATTTTCTTTTGTTTTTGCCATACCTGATGTAAAGTGGAGTTCAGAGAATTTGCTTGAAATAATTCTTTCTGCCTTTCTGATGCAATGAGGGAGTGTAAAGCTTTCCCCAACAAAGTAACATCTTAACAGGAACTCTGTGTGATGTGTATGTATTTAGAAATGCTAAGGCTGAGATTATCATAAACCTTTTTAAATCACAGCAGCCTATTTGTTGTTCCCCAAATATGGATATGGCCAGAACACGTCAGTCAAAAAATTATTAAAAATCCCAACCTAAAACTAACCCCTCGATTTTGTGATGTAGAATTAGAGTGTAGTCAGCAAGACATAATTTACCACTGTGATATAATTGCTGTGAAATATGGTCTTTTAATTAATGGGATAGCAAGACAGGGATAAATTGTGTTCTGACTGGCAGTGTTACAGTCCCACTGCTCCATGATGAGCTGCTCTATAAATATATTTTTTAAAATGTAAATGCCCATCTGATAAGAAATCCTGAATATGGAAAGTCTTACTTAAAAGCAAGTCAACACACCAGAGGACAGAAGAAAATTACATGTAAGAATAGAAGCAGTATTCTTGTTCTAATGGGATGCTTTCAATTAGGGGGAAAAAAAACAGCAGCGTGGATGGTATCTCCAACTTTGGAGCAGGATCTGTCCCCATGCCAAGGTCTGTCCTTGCCCAGCTGGTCATAGGCTAAGGGCCTAATGTGATGGGTGCCAATATGAAACTTATATCCACAGCTAGGTTCCTGAGAGAGGTGTTCTGGTGGGAGTCCAGCAGGCTAATCCAGACATGGAGATGTTGGTATCCAGGTCTTTTAAGAGGTACTTGTCACCTAGTTGGAAGAATGCTGTGAATATTTTACTCCATGCTGCCTACTGAAAGTGGCACTGGTTTGCTGCACATATTAAATACCACTGTTTGTATGGAAGGAGGGTTTTACTGTGCACAGAAAGAAGAAAATGAATGCTATTTGTGTCTTCAAATTCCATGCTAGTAAGGAGTCAATCTTCATATTTTAATTAGATAACCAGTACATGGAAGTAGCACTGAAGACATTCTCCTCCTCTCTTGGCAGGCAACCTTGGTTTTATGGCTGGGGCTTTAATCTTCCACGAGGCCAAGCACTATTAGAGAAATGGAACCTTATTCCAGATGGAATAGATATTCTTATAACACATGGACCACCTCTCGGTAAGAAAATACTAGTGCTCTTTTTCAGATGATTGTGCAGTAACTGATGACTCTCCTTAGAGAGTGCAATCCTGAGTTACAAAAGTAAAAAGTAACATCCATACTGATTTCAGCAGCACCTATGCTCCATGGTAGAGAAGGAAATAGTGGCTTAAAAAAATAAAGCCTTAATACATAAAGCCTTAATGAGCTTTATAAATGAGCAAGGTTGAGTTTTCCTATGTATCTGTCTATTCTGCCACTGGTGAAATTAGTAGATTTAAAGCATGGAGTCTGCTTGAGGAGAAATGCAGGATTTTCTTTTTTTTTAGCACCGTATTTCTGCCTCACTTGCAGTAACATTCCACCACCAACAGATACCCAGAGTCTCTTTTGTTCCTCATTATACTGACTTGGTGTGTCTTCTGCCTCATAAACCCAAAATGCTGCCATTGTTTGTATGTTCTTTGGACAGTGGTGGTTAAATTACCTGCCTTTAATACAATCTGGCAACACTAACAGGAAAACAAAAAACTGTTTTGCATTTCTGTTTTACAAATAATAATATAGGTGATTTAAAAGCCAGGAGAGCTTTCTTCTATTCCTAGATAATAGTGACATTATCTATGTTATGGAAATAATATAATCACAGAAAAGTGTCCAGATTCAATAAAAGCTTAAGGCTTTTTGATGTGTTTTGCAACATATTTAACACATAGGAAGATATATTGAATGCAACTATGTTTTTAATTCCTACTAATTTAATAAATGGACATGAAAGAGAAGCATGTACTTAAGTGTTCTGCGGAGGAGTGCTTTGTGTGAAATTAAGGCACTTGCTTTCTTCAAACCTTTAGATTCCCCAATTTCCTGAAGCTAAAACCCTCTTGTCTTCCACCCTTTCTTCTCCTCTTTCAGAGCCTGGAGGAGAAAGTATCTAAAGAGTTTGTGTTTTGTTGTTTTCTTTAGAAAGATATGTTTGCATTCCACTGCTCACTAATCCTAGGGGAAAGGGCTTCTTTGTGAGCAGGTTTTCTCACAGTTTGTGTTGATTCTTCACATAAGTGGAGTCTCATGCCATGCCACAGGCTGATTTTAAGAGGGACTTGTATGGTAAAAGTGGGTGGCAGAAATTAATTGTTTAGACCTTGAGATATCAGCTTCAAATGGTTAGCACTGGGGATAATCACTGTTAGGATCAAGAGCATGATGCTGGGTCTTTGATATTGTTTTATTTATAAGTAAGTCGTGTTTCAAACTCCTTCAGAAGCTTTTTCATCACTTGTAAAGACATTTTTTTTAACGAGTTGATCAGCTGTGAAGAAATCCAGCCTTTACCTGATCCAACGATTATCCCTGTATCTAGCAGTTGAAATCCAGAGTTGGAAGGTGGAGAGAGGCATTTGCACCACCCAGCTTCAGCCGCCTTGCTAATTTAGCCAGCAGGCCTCCTCTCCAGGCAGCCTCTGGGTTCTCTAGAGAGCACTACAGAGCTAGCATGCAGCAGACAGGCTTTAATAATAAATTCAGTAGTAAGTTTAATGATTGAAAAGTAATTTAATAATTGTAGTAATTCTGAGGAAGAGCTGCCCATCTCCACTGACACTAATGGGATAACATGAATTCCCCCTATCTCCATGATTCATTCTTTTATTTATTTATTTTTTTAATTCTTATGTTTCTACTGTCCTCCAAGGGATGATTTTTTACAAGTTCCCATTTCTTTGTCTCTTTTCCTGTTGATGCATTAATAGATAGCTCAGGCATGGAACTGTCTGCCAGAGGGCATCAGCTGTTGGTCTCCCTGTCATCCATGGCAACAAATACATGATGCTTCAAAAGAAGTGAGCTCTGCCTAACTTACAGAACTTACAGAACTTACCGTTCACTGTTCTTTTCTTTGTCTGTTTTTAATTTAAATTCACCTTTAAGTCTTCATTTGTAGCTGTCTGTCTATGACAAAGATTTATACTTTTATGACAGCTGCAGAAACCTGTTTCAAGTAACCAAACATTAAAAAAACCCTAAGATGAACTCTAATTGTTAGCTAGGTGTAATCAATTATTCTTAGTTTGTGTAGTCAGGTGTACATAATAAGCTGCAAACATATGGGAAAGCTTCAGAAGGGTGATAATGCATGTAAACAAAAACATGTTCAACATAAATAATGCTTAATTTAATGGAGAAGTTAATTTTATGGATTTTTGTTTGTGAAGTTTTTGAAGTGGAAATACTTTTGGCTTTATGTTCACCACAGACATTTTGACAATTAACTGTTTCCAATCAGTGAAGTAACGAAACCTATTGTTATAACGTTTGCTTGGAAGAAAGCCTGCCAGGATTCCAGAGGCATTGCTGGCTGCACTGTGACATCTACAGTACATATTTTTTCCTACAGTGAATTTTGACCTGTGTTGGAAACCACAAGTGACTGGTATAATCAGTTACCAGAACTGAGCATTGCTCTGCTCTGTCTGAAATTCAGCAGGGCTTGCTTGCTCTTTGTACGTTCTCCTGACAGGAGCCAAGCAGCATCTTCAGAGGTGTCTGAATGAATTAGGAGCTTATGGCCATTGTCAGACCTTCCTCTTTTTGACACCAAGGATGCTGCATTCCCAACTCATTACTAAAAATTACCATGTAACCATGATACAGGGGAAATTTTTTACCATTTTCATAGAACCCCACAGTGTACTGAGCCCAGTTTTCAAGCACTGGCATCTAAAGGGGTATTTCCCAGTGTGTGAACCTGCCCCTCTAGCAAATCTGAGAACATTTCCAAGAGCTTGAACACCCCAGTTCTGGTCTTTTAAGCCAGTTAGTTAGCTGCTATTTAGCCATGCTTGAGCAGACCTCAAAAGTAAATGGGTGAAAACTAGATCCAGACTCTGTACCTCTCTGGCTGACCACCTTTTTCTCAAAGGCACAATATATTCAAGCTGTTGCAGCAGTCTAAGTCAGAGGCACAAAGCTATGACAGGCACACAGGGTACCAGAACAACTGAAGAAAAACAGATTTATTATACCTTCTAGGTTTCCAAATTTGAGCCTGATGAAAGAACAGTAGAAGAAAGACAAGACTGGTTACTGCAAAGCCTGTAATGCCACAGCATCCTTCTTACACTGTTTTCCTTTGAAGGAAGCGTGAGACTTCAGTTGGCCGTGAAGCACCCCCTTGCAGTATGCAAGTTGGTGTACATTTTTGTCTGTATTCATGAAAAATGCATTTTTATACAAATTTTGTGCAAGTAAATGTGGCACTTGAAAATACCAATGGCAGAAGGGCTGAGATTCTCTTCCTATCTGAGGTCCATAAATTGAGGCTAGTAGGGCTTGCTGTGTCATGAAGCTCTTACACCAGTTTTATGTGAGGATGTATTTTAGGCATGCTGTGGGTTCCTCACCTGAATTCCACTACTGTGAGATTCAGTGTGATAGTAATGCAGGTTTATTATTAGCAACACAGATTCCATTACCTCAGTTAAACTGCTCAGTTAAAAACTAGATCCCAGGGCTAGATTTAAGTAGGTAAGTGTTGATTTAGATTCTTTAGAGACCGACTTTGGACATACTGCTCTTTACACCTCACTCTCTTAAAGGAAGAAGAATTAATAAAGCCTTGAGTTGTCCTATTAACAGCAGTGCAAAAATGCATTAATTGCAATGATTATTTTTTTTATCCTTGAAAGACAACTGGCAAGAGTTATCATAGTTCTTTGGCTTCTAATGAGTGTTTTTGGTTTTTCTCAAGTATTATTCTTTCCTTCCTCTTTTACTTACCAAGGCAAAACTGCACTGTTTTTCCATGTCAGTTCTTCTATGGCTGCTTATGAAAAGACATGAGACATGAAATCTCAGAAATACTGTGTAGCAGTACAGCTTTGCAGATAACCTGTCTTCTTTTAAAGCTTTGCTTTCTTTTCCCAAGGTTTTCTAGATTGGGTTCCTAAGAAAATGCAACGGGTAGGATGTGTTGAACTGCTGAACACAGTCCAGAGACGAATACAGCCAAGGCTTCATGTTTTTGGACATATCCATGAAGGTCAGAACACTTACTTCTATGTATATATTAAAAAACCACAAAAACAGAAGTTGTCTGGTTTAACTAGCATTTTCAAACTTGAATGTTTGAAATGAAGCACTTCTGGAATTCAGGTCCTTATTTAGCAGCATATATAAAAAAGAAACTGAGGGATACCCACATTTCAATGTTTGTACTTCAGCTTCTCTTTCAATTTCTGTATCTATAAAACAGGGTGATGCCTCATTCACAGAGAGGATTTCTGTGAATTTTAAAATAAGAACACAAGTCCAGTAGTTACAGGAAGTGACTAAATATTAGGATTGATTAATTTTATTTTCTTCTGCAGAATCGCTGTGACTTAATAATGTAAGCTCTCTGTCTCTCAGTTTTTTGTGTTTGTAAAATGGGTAAGAATGCTTTGGAGATTGCTTCTAAAGCTTAATCTTCAAGATTGTACAATAAAGGCTGTCTCTTCCTGTCAATGTGCATATGAAGTTAAAATCAAGAGGGATGTCATCACTGACTTGTATAGAAGTTCATTATATTTACTCATGTATCTATTTGCTCTGGCAGGAGAAACGTTTTGTACCCAGACAAAACCAAGTGGTTCTCTTGACTGTTTGATTTTTAACTGGAAAAAAATTAGTTCCCTAAAATAGGTCAGTAAATGGTGACATGTATGCTCCACTGAAGTCAGTGACAGGAGGAGTTCATCTCCCAGCAAAGGGAAAAGTAGATGCTCTTTTCTATAAAGAAGTCTGTCCTGTCCACGTATCGTGGCAGCAAGACTTCAAGCGGTGCCCCTACCAAAGGAAACCACTGGGCTGTGCAGAAGTGGCACCTCCACAGAATGGCATGTAAGCATGCATTATCAGCTACTTAGTCCTTGGCAGTGTTAACTTACTGGCAGGAACAGGTGCTCAGCAACTGCCAGTTTTCTGCTTCTGGGACTGCTCCAGCCTTCAAAAGATACCTGTGCATCTCACCAGTGTAGAGATGAACAGACAGAAAAGCTGGAGTAGCAGGCACTCATATATTTCGGTTTTTATGAAGAACTGTTATCTTTCTAAATAAATTCCACTCTGACTTGCTGCTGGGCACTTTCATCATGCTTGGTTAGGAATGACATTGGTGAGAGGTGTGCTAGTGTAAAACTGATGGAGGAGACATTCAGATCATTATTCTACAGCTCAGGGATTAAGTCTATTCTCCTTGTTTGTCTCATTTTCACTGACCTAATAATACCTACTTAATGTCCAAGGTGCTGTTACATCACAGAGTAAACAAAAAATGCATACATTTTTTTTCCTAACCTTTTGCTGTTGTAGCAGTCTTTGAGATTCCATACAGGAGGGCTGGTGAATACAGTTCAAACTCATTGTCTTTTCAGAAACCATAAGCCAAGTGGGTTGCAGGGGATATAAGCAAACACTTTTAGCAAGCCATGAAGCTTCAGGCAGGTAAACTAAATCATATCTGCTAAGACTAAGCCCAACTTTGGCTCCCAAGGGGAAAGAATGGGACCTCCACAGAATGGTAAATCTTGTGAATTAATACAGTTGGCACAGTAGGTATCAGAACAGAGAAACAAGCTACTCTGCTTGTTAACTCTCATAATGGAGAGAAAACAAATGGGGAACTGCATAGCCTGTTTTGTGGTGGGATGCTAAATCTCTGCAGAGGAGAATTCCCATTGCAGACAGCCTGTGCAAATGAAGCTCTGCTTGGTAGAGAGAATATACGATTTGAACAGATGAGTTCCTCCCCTGACTGAGCATAGCTACATCTGTAGCAGTCATTTACTGAACATCCAGGAGGAGGAGGAGATGCTTGGAAGAGATGTTTCTTCCCTGTCCCCTGTCTGCACTGCTTCTCTGCCAAAAATTACTTCTTTACGTGGGCTTGCTGCTGATCGACCCATGCAGTGACAAGCAGCATGGCAGGGACTTGGGCTAAAATCCTGGTTTGCCCATGACAGCCAGTACCTGATGGAGGTCATGGGTGAGGAAACTGCTGGCAATGGGGTAGGAGTGAAAACTGTAACATTAGGAATATTCCAGCAAAAGGAATGGATTAGCAAGCTCATTCTGTTCTCTCCAGACGTGTAGCCGAGGAGACAGGAAGTCCCAGCAGCAATGCTTACTGTCCTCTGTGCAGTTTGTGTTTTGCACAGAACAATTGTTCTGTGGCAAACAGCAAATGATTTAAAGAAATGTCTGTGACAGGAACCTGACAGACTTTTCTTCCCTCCCTAGTCCCTAATTACAGTGTGGTTTTTCCACGGGGAGTGCAGGAGGCCCTGCATTATTCAGTGTATTTTAAGGAATAAAAAAGCAAGAAATTTGGCTACTGTTTCTTTGTAAATTCTGCAACTAACAATGCTTCTATAAGGCATGAAATTACACTCAGAAAAACTGTAGGATCCTAGGTGCCTTGGATTCGAATAGCCAAAGTCAGTGCATTTAGCATTCACTATTCATTTCAGTAATGCTGAGATTGAATCATAGTACAAATGCTCTCTGCCAGGTGATTTTCCTCGAGTCATGTATTTATGATTGTGAATGCATTTCTTCATCATGATCTTAGTATTTCAATGCAAGTTTCCACCATTAAGCTTTTAGTTTTAGTGTAATCAAGCTTATGTTTTTTCCTCTTATTTTTGACACTGGAGAGCGTCTACTTTTTCATAACACTGGAGCAGTTAGACAGTTTACTCTTAACATAAGTTCTGAAGCAGAATTTCACTGTATTTCTACAGGTGTTAGAGGTGGAAGTTTGATTTTCTGCAGATGTAGCTCCGGAGTTGTTTGGTTTGGACGTGTAGTGAGATGAGATGTAGGTAAAGGTTTTTCACCACTGGTGAGACATACAGAAGGGTGTTTTCTGCTGTGGAAATGTTACAGTGTCTGAGGGTGTGAATGCACCTTGATGGCAAAAAGTTCTGCTGCAGGACAAAGGTGTTACTAAGTCAGGGAGACCTTTATGTTTTGCATGAAGAGGATTTTAAAATTCCTTCTGAGCAATAAATGTGACACTTACTGTTGTGTGAAAAAGGTGAATAATTAAAAGAAGAACAAGGTAATAATGAATAATGAGAGTAACCAGATTTTTTCTTTCTTTGTAGGTTATGGTGTCATGGCTGATGGAACAACTACCTACGTGAATGCATCTGTGTGCACTGTGAATTACCAGCCACTTAATCCACCTATAGTTATTGACTTACCCACTCCAAGGAACACATGATTATAATGAAGATTTAGAGTTGTGCCCAACACATTAGCAACTTTATATTGCTGGCTGAGAATCCCAAAAGGGAACCATTCAAGAAAAAAGCAAAAACCTTCTTTTTTTCCTGCTAGCTCTTCAGGGATAAATTCTGAGTGATAAAAGTGGATGAGGAGCAAATAAATTTTGGTGCCAGAAACAAATTAAAGACTTTAACGTTTCACCATTAAAATATTTGTGAACATGGAAAAGTGAATGCATTCCACATACATATATATATATATATATACACACATATACATATATATATATCTCAAGTAGGGACTTTTGTATATACCGTACATTATATTGGACTTACTTATTAAAAGAACAATGTCTTTCAAAGGAGTGTTTCTTTAAGAAAGTTTGCAGTTTAAACTTCAGTGTTTAGACTAGGATTTCCTAATTTCAGATGTTTCCCAGTGAGGTCTTAGTAAAAGAAAAATTATGGTAAAGATGTTTTCCCTTAATTGACATGGCAAATATAAAAGATGGTGCATGAATGACCAGTCACAGGAGGAAAGCTTTTACTGCAAGTCCTTCAGGTCTAAGTCTTTGCATCTATTCAAAACCAATGCAATAGAGGCCCTAATTCACTGTACTGAAATGAAGTTTTACTACATCTGGCATTACAGATGGTAAGGGAAATGGTGCATATTGCTGGCATGCTGTAAACAGCTCAGCATTCAAGGAGGGAGACTGTGTTAAGTGCAGTATAAACTCAGGAATTTGTAACCTGGACTTGCCTGTGAGAAAAAAAAAGACAAAAAAAGAAGAAAAAACAAAACATTTCCCTTAAAAGGAAAGAAAGAAAAAAGAAGAAAAATAGTTTTAACTATGTTTTCATATATTAAGGCAATATGTGATTGTATGTAAAAAACAACAAAAAAAAACCACCTCGAAAAACCCACCCAATGTTTAATAGAGGTATTTTAAATAAAACCCACTGGGACTATTTGTTTAAAACCTGTTAATGGGACATGCAGCCAATTATGAGATTACTGCTGTGAATTTGGCCCCTGTCAGAAGTGGTTAAATGTCATTGTGATCCTTCTGTCCTTGGGGAACGTTATGGATGTCAAGGGGAAGGTGTCATCTCAAGGTGGGCTTTGGGCATTCACTTGTGGGTAGCTATGTAGCAGCGTAAGTGCGATGGGCGAGGAGTGCATGCCAATGGGTACAGAGCAGGGTCACCTCAAGAAACCTGGCATTGCCATTTGCCCACTCGTGGATGCTGCTGAGAGAGGCCCAAGACAAAATCATCAGCCGAGTTGAAATCCATCTGTCTTGGTGCACGTGATGCCAAGCAAAGCAGGGAGCATGTCAGGAGCTGGTTGGGATGGCCAACCTTAGTACTGCCCATGCAGCTTTCCTGCAGGTTAACAGAGGTGTTGAAGCTGCTGGGATTATAGTCCTGTCCTAGGCAGAAGCTCAAGAACTGATTACAAACCCACCCCTGCCCCCCCAACCCACAAAAAAAAAAAAAAAAAAAAAAAAAAAAAAAAAAAAAGAAAGCTAATTACCAACCAGAAAAA